AGGTAAACATTTTATATTGTTGGAAAATGACATTGAGAGGTCTATTTCAGTTTTATTTTTTAAAATTTCCCATGTTTCATCATTATATAAAATAACATTGTCATCTACATAACTAAATATTTGACGGGATGTAAAAGAAGTAAGGATATTGTTAATATATAATGTAAACAAAATTGGTCCCAGCACAGTCCCTTGGGGTAGGCCGTAATTAACAATTTTTTCTGTACTATGCATATTATTAATTTTTACAACTTGCCGTCTATTTGACAAGTAATCTCTAAATACTTCATTTGGCGTACCTCGTATTCCTGCGTTCTCCAGGACTTCAAGCATCTGAGTGTGACTAACAGTGNTTGGGGTAGGCCGTAATTAACAATTTTTTCTGTACTATGCATATTATTAATTTTTACAACTTGCCGTCTATTTGACAAGTAATCTCTAAATACTTCATTTGGCGTACCTCGTATTCCTGCGTTCTCCAGGACTTCAAGCATCTGAGTGTGACTAACAGTGTCGAAAGCTTTAGCAAAATCCAAGAATACGCATACTGTTGGCTTACTTTTTTTAAACACTTTGTACTTTCTTACGTGTAGGCAATTATTTTAAACAATAATATGCAAGCCACTGCATATTTTTAATTTTTGTGAGATTTTTGTAATCTTCCTTCATTGCCTGACATAAGATGTCTCTTAGTTCTTCATTTGAAGCCTAGTTCAGGAGAGAAATGCTGTTTTTTGTTAATTTATTGATCATGCACTATTTATTAGTTTTAATAAAATTGCATTTTTATTCAGAATTAAGCTTCAAATGAGAAGAAGGCTAATAGACAATACTCAGATGTTTTTATCGATGGAGTATGTATGTATGTATGTCGGAGAGTGGTGGAATTGTTTTTCCACCGCGGCACTTAGGCCTTATTAGGCCCCTTGTACACCCTCCTTCATTACTCGAGTACTTTTCTTCAAACCATCCTATTTACTACACGGCTGGCTTGGTGGCAAAGTTTCGTACTGTTTATGTATGATAACATGGTCTTGAGTTACAGAGATTTTCTTTGCTCTGTTCTCATTACCATTTATCGGGGACCACACAGCCACGTCCCCGAGCCTGCCTTAGGTCACCCATCAAAATTCCAGCCTGTGTCCGTGATGCTTACCTCAACAGATCGAAATCCACCGGGCTAGGCGGTCCCCTTATCGATGGAGTATTTTCAGCGTAAGTTTCAATAGCACTCGATGACTTTTCGTGACTCATAATAAAAAGTAAAGCCTAATGACAGAACTTTGGCATGAATATGGTTTACAGAAGTGTTCGATGCGATATAGCATAAGTTACACCATCTGTTGTAAGTCCGTCAAAATTAATTAAAAAAATAACAAAGACAGATAATCTTCAGTGCCCTGTATTTTGGAAAGGAGACATTTTCACACACTCTGAAATATTTCAGACTACTTACGAAACACCCCCTATATTCAAATTAAAATTAATAACCATTTTCCTTATTTTCCTTCCTAAATATGATGTGAAAATTGATTTGTTACACACAGTTCGTTTCAGAAAAAAAAAACAAATAATTTAATCGTTTTTGGACATATAGGGTGTATTAAAGATTTTCTTATTTACTTAAACTAATGTCAAAAGATATTTCAGATATATTAATAAAATTTATTCTGATGAGTTCATTGAAAAAGTTGCACCCTGCACACACCTTATGAAAATAGGTCTTTCGGTAATATTTTCTGAAAAAATGATATGTTAGTAAGTAAGCATTTATTAATCCAAAAGATCATATAAAATATGAGAATTTACACAGAAAAAAAGAAAAAAAAACAAAATGTGTTAATCAGTTCAAATATTCATCAATAAAATAAAAACCATGTTTAATTAAGAAGTAAAGTTCTTTAGAAAATGCATTGAAACCAGCAATTTTTTTTATAGAGATATTGTTTATTGTATACGATGGTCCCTTTTGTCCCTTTTTTATTACTGATCAAAAATCTTCATGGCCACAAAGTTCCAAATGCCCATCTGGAGGCGGCAGCTCCCACAAAATGGTCAAAAACAATGAAAAATCGATTCACTCTCAAATATAATTTTAGCTTAATTGTTGTTGTAATTATGTTTGTATTATTTAAAAATTACACTTGAATAAGATGTATTTTAGTTTTGTACTTTTTTCCCTGTATAAAAAAATTTAATTTATAACGTGACTCTTATTCATTTTTCAAGCAAAAACTTTTATCAGGAATGCCTCTTTTTCGTATCTTGCCAAATATCATTTTTCTGTTTTTGACGTACCAACAAAATTGAAGTTCGTCATGGTGATTTATATAGGAGATATTAAATTTTGTGGTACTTTACAAGATACGGAATCATTAATAGACTAGGTGGTATCTGTTTTGGTTTGGGTAAATCGTATATCCACGGAGATTTTTAACTTTTTGGCTTTCAAATATCACTAGAAACGAAAATTTTTCTATGTGCATAAAAAAAACATGGGCTTACCTTTTGGCGGCACAATATGTAAAAAAATTAGAAAATGTCATTTTCTTCGTATTTAATCGTAATTTAATCTTTTCAAGAGTTGATTTTAGGCGAAAATGGAAAAGGAAAAAAATGTTTGTAATTCAATTTTTTACAAAATATGACTAGTTACAGATCGATTGAATCATGATTATTATTGTAAAATTCGAAGAAATCGTCAAAACTGGGGTTAAAAAACATTACTTTTTAGGGAATTTTTTTGAGGTCTTTACATTGGGTATAGGACCTTCATAGAAAACTTCATGTTATGTAGAATCATCACACCAAATTTCATCAAAATCGGTTCGATAGATTTTGCATAATAATTTTGCAATCCAGATTTTGAAAAAAAATTTGCAAATTTTCAAAATTTTGCACAGCAAAAACCAAGGCCCTTAGATACTTGAAAATTTAATCACATATAGAAGGGCTCTCAAGCTTTCAAACGCTTTTTGAAAAATTCGAATCCATCAATTAGGTGAGCTCTGGCACTTGTTTAAACATTGGTCGAATTTTTGTACTTTACAATTATTAGAACTTTGTGAATATTCAATCAAATCAAATTTTTTAAAGCAGGTTTTAAAAGTTATTGGAAAGACGCTTCTTTAAAAAAAAAACAGATCGATTGGTCAATTAGTTACGTAGTTATAGCCAATCAAAGTTAACCGTCATTTACACTAAATGTACTGGGACATCCGGGCTAATTTTTCGAAAAATATAGGCAAATGAGAAATTAACTCATTATACTACTAATTTTAACGTATTTGGAAATAATTATTGTTGTTTAAACAATTTTAGAATATTTAAAGAAATTTGTTTTTGATCTTTGATAAACAGTACCTATATAAGTTTATGCACTTACCTTTGATACAATAAAAAAATAAAGTTAATTAAAGGAAGTTTAAAGATAAATCATTATCAGACTATTGAAAGACCAATAATTATTAACGATAGGCATTTGAAAATACGCTAATTGTTTTTCTTTTTAATCGAGAGACATCGATTTAAATAAAAATCATTAAAATCGGACCACTAGAAGCTGAGATATTAACATTTTTTAAGGGCGTCGCGGTTTTGAACTTGCCGATTCAATTTCGAGCAGGCCGAAGCGGCTTAAAGTACAAAAATTCGACCAATGTCTAAACAAGCACCAGAGCTCTCCTAATTCCGGATTCGAATTTTTCAAAAAGCGTTTGAAAGCTTGAGAGCCCTTCTATATGTTATTAAATTTTCAAATATCTGAGGACCTTGGTTTTTGCTGTGCAAAATTTTGAAAATTTGCATATTTCTTTTCAAAATCCGGATTGCAAAATTATGCAAAATGTATCGAACCGATTTTGATGAAATTTGGTGTAATGATTCTACATAACATAAACTTTTCTTGAGCCAAGTATGAAGGTCCTATACCCAATTTAAAGACCCCAAAAAAATTCCCTAAAAAGTAATGTTTTTTAACCCCATTTTTGGCGATTTTTTTCGATTTTTACAATAATAATCATGATTCATTCGATATGTAACTAATCATATTTAGTAAAAAAATTAATTACAAACATTTATTTCCTCTTTAATTTTCGTCTAAAATCAACTCTTGAAAAGATACATAATTAAATAAGAATGACTTTTTCGAATTTTTTTAACATATTGTGCCGCCAAAAGTTAAGGCCACGTTTTTTCTAGGCGCATAGAAATATTTTCATTTCTAGTAATATTTGAAAGCCAAAACGCGAAAAATCTACGTGGATATACGATTCACCCAAATATGGACTTTTTGAAACAGATACCGCCTGGACTATAAACGTATGTACAGTTTCGTAGAAATATCTTTTATTCTTGTTCTTGTTGTTAAGAATTGCTCATCTCTGGTTTTTATTAGCATTNATAAACAGTACCTATATAAGTTTATGCACTTACCTTTGATACAATAAAAAAATAAAGTTAATTAAAGGAAGTTTAAAGATAAATCATTATCAGACCCCAAAAAAATTCCCTAAGAAGTAATGCGTTTTAACCCTATTTTTGGCGATTTTTTCTTGATTTTTACAATAATAGTCATGATTCATTCGATTTGTAACTAGTCATATTTACTGAAAAAATTTAATTACAAACATGTATTTCCTCTTCCATTTTCGTCTAAAATCAACTCTTGAAAAGATACATAATTAAATAAGAATGACATTTTTCGAATTTTTTTAACATATTGTGCTGCCAAAAGTTAAGCCCACGTTTTTTTATGCGAATAGAAAAATATTCATATCTAGTGATATTTGAAAGCCAAAAAGCGAAAAATCTATGTGGATATACGATTCACCCAAATATGGACTTTTTTTAAACAGATACCGCCTGGACTATAAACGTATGTACAGTTTCGAAGAAATACCTTTTATTCTTGTTCTTGTTGTTAAGAATTGCTCATCTCTGGTTTTTATTAGCATTAATTTGAATTAAGGAATGTATCAATAAAATCTCTTATTTTTCAGTGACAGATCTGATTCTGAATTGAAACACATTTCCCAACTTGAAGAAACCAAAAGTAGTTCTATGAGCCATATTTTGAAACGCAAGAAGGCGGCAGCGAAAGAAGTACACAGATGTGAAAAATGCGATTATAAGACCGTGTTCAGAAACCACTTTGCGAATCATCAGCTGGTACACGAAGATCCTTCCAAAATAAAAGAGCACAAATGTGACATTTGCGGCTATGCAGCCAAAAAGAGATGCTATCTCTTGCGCCACCTATTATCTCACAAGAGTCCCTGCGAAGTGGACATGTTCAAGTGTATCTATTGCGATTATGAGTCAAAAACTAAGCCCTACATACGAAGACATTACATAATTCATCATGGGGGGAACTTGCTGGACCCCGAGGAGAATTCAAAAATAACACAAATGCTTAACCTCAAATACCCGTTACCTGTGCAAGTGCTCAAATGCGGTAGATGCCCCTACAGTACCCTGAGCGAAGTGAATTTTTTAGACCATCAGTGCAAGCCGGTCGAGAAATTGTACCTGAAATGTGACCATTGCTGTTACACGACCACATCTAAGAACTGCCTCAGAGCGCACCAAATAGTGCACAAGAACCCCTCGAATAAGTACAAATGTCACAATTGTAATTACGAAACGAGGTATAAGAACCACATTACAAGACACCTACTAAAACATAAAAATCCCGAGCAAGTGCAGATGCGCAAATGCATGTACTGCAGTTTCGAATCGAAATATAAAGAGGGTTTGATGTCGCATCTGTTAAACATTCATACAGACATCCTATACGACCCCAAGGAGAACTTGAGGGTACAGCGTATGCTGAACCTCAAAAAACCATTTTCGCTAGAGATATACAAGTGCGATAAATGCATCTACGAAACAGTAAACAGGTGCACATTCAACGCCCACCTGTTGACACACAAGGACCCGTCACACGCCCGAATGTACAAGTGTGATGTGTGTGATTTTGAAACCAAGAATAAGAAAAGTCTTCGTAACCACAAACTGAATCACGCCAAGGGGCTAAATTTCAAGTGCGACACCTGCGGTTACACGACCAGGCAGAAAAACCAACTTAATCGCCACAAGTTAACACACAAAAGCACCTCCGAAATAAAAATGTACAAGTGTCACACGTGCGATTACGAAACCAAGCATAAGGGTAGTCTTGTACATCACCAATTAGTGCATAAAAGTCCTTCCCAGCTGCGAATGTACAAGTGTGACGCCTGTAATTTTAAAACCAAGTATAAGAATAGTATCGATAAACACAAACTGACGCACAAGGATCCGTCCCAGGTGCGATTGTACAGGTGCGACGCATGTGGCTACACAGCCAAACAAAAAAACAATCTTACCCGTCACCAGTTAAATCACAAAAATTCGTCTGAAATGAGAATGTACACATGTGACTGTTGCGATTACGAATCCAGGCATAGGAATAATCTTAAAAAACACCGATTACAGCATGAACGTTCTTCAGAGGTGCAAGGAAATGAAATATTACAGTAAAAATTTCACGACAATTATACTTTCAGTTCAATAAAACATGTAGTGCAAGGGAGGGTTGTGTTAAAAGTTTTAGAGATACCTTTTTATACAGTGTGACTCAGATATTAGTAATATATAGGGTCTCCAAAAAACGATGGGCAATCTCTCAGATTTGCACTTGAATTTGCAAAAATAACGTTTAGCCTCTATAATGTATTTATATTTCTACTGACCCTACAGAGTTATTATCTTAAAGTTGGGAATTGAATATTGATTTTTTTCATAGCAATTTTTGGGTAAAAGTTTTTAAGGCTTTCATACTTTGTCAAGTGAAAAAGGTGTGTGCTTTATTGATGTAATGGACTGTTTTCGAGGTAGATATCTTTTCATAAAGACCAATTCAAAATATGTTGGAAATAGTGTAGTATCTTTTTCGTTAACTGCATTTATCTAAAAAATGTATCGATAACAAACAAGTATATTTCATTTAAAAAAAGTACTGAAGTCATAAATGCGATAAAAATGTTAAAAGTATATAAATTTTTTTGGTTGACAACATGTCGTGTGGATTCCCGGGCCCCAACAATTGCTCTCGGTAAATTGAAAACACCAGAAGAAAGCTTCAAATTATAGCTTTTACCCAAAAGTTATCCATTTTTAAAACTATAAAATATATGTTATTTTGGCTTGTGCTACCGAAATTCGAAAGATTGCCCACCATTTCCTTGATGTCCTATAAACGATTCTATTGCAGCCACTTCAATAATTTTTATTCTGTTGGTTGTGTTTTGTTCTCTTGTCTATAAAAAATTAATTAGATGCTATCCCAATGAGATATATTTGAGATATATATTTTACCATTATGGATAATATACTATGTATTGTGTTACTATTCTTGATAAGAAATGTTTTTCAATAAGAAGTAGACTTTTATTTCAGAAAATTCAGTCCTACCATTCTGTAAATTGTGATTGA